TAATATTTCTAATCAGGTCTGGTACAATCACTAGATTTAGCTCTCTCTCTTTTGATTTACCTACTAAACGAAATTGATATACTAAAACTTAGATCAAAAAGGAGGAAAAAATTGATATACGGAGGAAAAACGATCATGCACGTGCCTTAATATTGTGATATTTTTCTTCTCTCTCTCTCTCTCTCTCTTTCAATCTTCTAACTGGTACAGATATAAACAGACACGAAATAACATAGCTTGATTTACCTACTTAGCTTTATTTACCTACCTGATGTAGATTTTTTTAGCTACCAGATCAATTTATATCTATAAAAAACATTTTTCTCAGGATGTGCAAAATATCCCAATTTGATGCAGTGATCTTTTTCAACTTTGAACTGAAAAGTTGCATTGAAATAGCTAAATAAAGCTACCTGAGGTAGGTAAATAAAGCTACATAGGTAATTCTACCTATATAGGCTTATAGCTAAATCTAGTGATTGTACTGGGCCTGCTAATGACTAATTATGTCAATATTTATCATCACAGTTTATCACCTTATTATTTATCATTGAAAGCCACAGCCCTAACCATTACATCTCTATAAAACTATCAAGTATCAATTAAAATAATTAATAAACCATACATGTACATGTGGGAGCCGGTCAAAGAGCCCCCTAATAAAAACGTCCCGGTCAAAGTCAAAGCGCCCCCTAACATATTTTTTTAGAAAAAAATACTGCCCCCAGATATTGGTCAAAGCAACCCCTAATTTTAGTCAAAGCGCTCCTTAACTTTGGTCAAAGCGCCCCCTAACATATTTTTTTAGAAAAAAAATACCGCCCCCAAATATTGGTCAAAGCGTCTCGATTTTAGTCAAAGCGCCCCTTGTCTTTGGTCAAAGCGCCCCCTAACATATTTTTATAGAAAAAATACCACCACCAAATATTCGTCTAAGTGTCCTCTGATTTTAGTTAAAGCGTCCCATGATTTTGGTCAAAGTGCCCCCTAACATAAATTTATATAAGAAATACTTTACTGTCCCCAATTAAATGGTCAAAATGCCTCCTGCTTTTGGTAAAAGTGCCCCCTAACATATTTTGATAAAATGTATGCAAATACCTCACTATAGAACCTAAATAAAGAAATATTTTGAATATTTAAATCACTGTTTAATGAAGTAAGAGAGACTTTATATTAAGCATATGGTATTTATAACCTTGAAATAAACCTTCAAGTGACAGTTTCTTCAACAATTTAGACCTGACCTTAAGTTCTTAGCTGTGACCTGTCTTCTGTTTCTTTTCACATTTCCAAATAATTCCTCAATTACATAATTCCTAAATTACATGATTTTTTTTTTGTTGTGGATACATACAGTACTTTACAGATTGTCTTAGTGTAAATGGACAGCACACCTCATGCTTCAAGCATTTGCCGGCATTGAGGAAGTCCAGGTTCAAATCCTGGGGGCAGTCTGAAGTGCAACTAACGAAATGAATCATTTGTACTAAATTCAAATGGCCAAGATATATACTAAATATATTTTTCTATTTTTTTTTCTTTGTGATAACTCTTTGTAAGTAAGTGGGTGTAATAAATTATTTAAGATTTTCTTTATAGCAGTTAAACACAAATAATAATGAGCATATTAAGTTCTGTAATCCTGTAGATATTGAGGATGAAAGTGAGGAAAGAGAGGACAGCGGTATTGATGATGAAACTGATGAAGATGTTGGGAAGCTGCTGATGAAAGTTTCTCCAGAAGAAGTGGCAGCTGGAAAATTCCGCCTTATTTATGCCCATCCAGAGGCATTCCTTTCTTCAAGAGAAGGAAGGAAAATTCTACAAAGCCAAGCTTTGCAGGATCACGTGTGTGGTATCTGCATAGATGAAGCACACATGATACAAGAATGGTATGATATACTGTAAACGTATTACATTTGGCTGTGTATTCTTTTTAGCAGCTTCGGCGGAACTCAACAACAGCTAAGTCAAGTAAAATGTCTTGCACTTATACACATAAATAAGAATACGAAGAAATACGCTAAACCAAACCTACGCTAATTTATTCAAATTCAATTTCTGCCAAATATCGTACACGCTAAATATAATACATTTACAGTATATTAAGAGAACAAGAGGCCCATAGGCCAAAAGGCTCACCTGAGTCATTATGATTATCATTGTTTATCAGCATGTTTTTTTCTCCTATACATTCTTACAAAAATTAATTCCGTTATAGCCGGCCAATCCCATCCACATGTGTCATGATGTGACCACATAATCTGCACTCCTTGAAGATTCTTCTATATCAAAATGAGACTTATCATGGCTTTGTTGTTCAGTAGAAGATATTTTCCATATAAATGTTAAAGTTTGATGCCCACTGGCACTGTGGCTCCCCTGGGGGTCATGATTTGAGCAAACTTGAATCTACATATTTATTGGAGTTTCCACTTTTGTAGCAAAGTGGTTTTTGAGAAATTTAAATAATGCCAACAAATTGTCATTTATTCTTAATTATCTCCCTTTGCAAAAGAGCATGGCCATTCATTAGAACAAGCTTGAATCCACTTTACTCAAGGATGCTTTGTGACAAGTTGGGTTAAAATTGTGGTTCTGGAGAAGAAACAAAAATGTGAAATGTTTATGGAAAGACAGATAGACAAAATATGAGTTTACTTGAGCTCTTAGCTTAGGTGAGCAGTGATTGTAACTCCAAAACTTTTCTTCATTTTAAGTGTCCCCCCCTTCAAATAAACTATTTTAAAATTAAAAGGCCTAGAATAAAAATTGTTTGTTTGCAGTTGCCTACCTACCCAATGAAAATGCACCTGATGCAAACTTTTTTTAGCCATTTAGTAAATTATTATTTTTTTTTTTTACTTTTTCAGGACATTGAAACATATTTCATTTTCAGTTTTTGACTTTTGTTTTCATCAATCAGTAGTTTAAAACAATAGTGGAGCTTATTCATCTTCAGTAGGCCTTTGTAAAGCTCTATCATTTGTTATCTAACAAAAATCTGAAGACAATTTAAAAAAAAAAAAGAATGCCTACCTACCTACCCAGTCTAAAAATTATAGGTTGGCAACTGCAAACAAAGATTTTTTTAAGCTTGGCCTATTTGTTATTTGTTTTAAGGGGTGAAGACTTTCGAAAGGACTTTGCTAGGATACAAGAATTGCTGGGCATTTTCCCTAGAGTACCCGTGTCCCTTTTTACAGCAACAGCATCACAATCGACAAAGGAAAAGCTGGTAAAAAACCTTGGTTTAAGGAATCCCACTTTTATTTCCAAGAATCCAGACAGACCCAACATCAAGTATTACAAATACGAACGACTACCAAGCATGCGACAAGAAGACGACCTTGACAAAATTTTAGGAGATATTGTGACAGGTCTACAAAAGGACAGAAGACATTATCCTCTCACTTTCATTTACACTGACCTGGAGTCAATCAGGTATGGCTATAGATTTTTGGAGAACAAGTTAGGGATTGAGTCTCCTGAGAACAGGTGTTATGCACAGTACCATACCCATTATCCAGAGAAAATGAAAAATTTTATCATAGGGGAACTGGGAAAATCTGATCCAATAATTAGAGTAGTTCTGGCAACGGTAGCCCTTGGCATAGGTCTGCATGCACCTGCCGTTCGAAAAGTCATTCATTTTAAATGTCCAACAAGCATCGAAAAATACTTGCAAGAAACTGGTCGTGCGGGGCGAGATGGGTTAGCTGCCGAAGCAGTTTTGTATGTTAATAAAACAGATGTCAGGAACAACAGACCTGGGATGCAACATTCCATGCGCCAATACTGCATAAGTACAGACACCTGTTTGCGTGTGCAGTTGTTAAAGCATCTAGATTTTAAACCAGATGTTGGAAACAAAAAATGCAAATGCTGTGATGTATGTGAAATTTTATGCTGTTGCTCAGACTGTGAATTGTAACATTGTGTCATAGTATTCCCAAGTGTTAGTGAGCACAACTTCATCATTATTTAAGTACATTCCCAGTATTACAGGACCGCACTTCTTGTTACTACAATTGCACTGTAAAAGGATGGTGTGATCTATCTGCCTTGTAAACCTGTACATGAAAGACCTTGACTTAGTGTCAGATGTAAAAATGAAACATTTGATTTTTATATGATTTTTAATACATGAAAAGAATTCAACTACTGGTGCACATTTGTTATGAAGTTTCAGTTGAAATATATTCTTTTACTACATATTATCTTCAATTAAATACATATAACAAAGAGGCCCATTGGCCACATTTCTCTCCTGAATCACATGGCCCTATTGTGTTTTCACATGTAAAGTTTTGATAACAGCGTGGGCCATTGCCATTCTACCTTTGAGGGTCATTTGATCAAACTTGAATCTACACTAATAAAACACTCTTGACAGTAAAATTCACTTATCATGGCTTTGCTAGCCTTGAGAAAAATTTAAAAGATTTTTTCCTATAAACTTGAATCAACAATATTTGAGGATGTTTTCCCATAAATATGACTAATCATTGCTTTTCCAATTTCTTAAGATTCTTCCTATATATTCCTTTGCTACACTGATTGCCCTTCATGGCCCCACCCTACCCTGGGGGTCATGACATGAACACGACTTGAATCTACACTATAAATGAAGCTTCTACACGAGTTTCATTTTTTTTTTCTATCTTAGTGGTTCCTGAGAAAAAGATGTTTAAAAGATGCTATTAAAATTCACTAGTTTTAAATTATCTCCCCTTAAAAAGTGTGTAGTCCAAAAGATACCTTATGGCGGTTGAAATCAGCAGAATTATTCTAAAGTGATAAAAATAGGAAAACATTAAGATAATGATTTCAACTAACAATTTTGATAAGAAAAGCTGTGACACTTGAGACTTTAGCTCAAGTGAGCTAAAATACATGAAACATCCAAACATCCAAACATATAACATTTTTTTGACATAATACAAACAGCAATCATACACTGCAATCAGACACAATTTAACCCCCCCCTCCCTTCTCATCCCCATACCTATGAATGATTGTTACTGGTTGTAGTATTCAAGGTCAATGTTCTGACATCTTTTCAAGCGCTCAACTATTTTGAAAAGATGGGAGTTAAAATCTGAAGATATAGCTGAGAATGGATTTTTCCTGAAACCACTGTAAAAATTCATCTTGCGGTTATCAATCACACTAAATGGGTCTAATCGACTTAAAAGTTGGACTAGAAGTGTCACGTCTTCCAAATTGTCTTTTGTATTGTGTTTTCCACTCCTTGATACACACCCAATATTGTTCATATAATTTTCTACAGTTTCTGCCACAACAGGAGCTGCTGCAGATGCACGTTCCATGGCTTTTTTTGTTTTGTTAGCTCCTAAACCTTTTATAACATCTTTGAGAACAAGAATGTTATTTTCTTGTTGCATGTCAGCTGGCTTATTTCCTCCTTTCTTTCCATGTGGGTTAACAAAACTACCAAGTCTCACTCTCATAGCTGTGTGCTGTGGTAATAGAACTTCTGTTTTGAGGATATAATCTATGCACTCAACTGCATATTTGGATCGATCTGAATGACTGTAAAAGAAGGGAATCATTCTTTTTAAGTTAATGTTGGTCCTGAAAGGGTCTCCTTCTCGTATGCCATCCTGAAATTCACAAAAATGGATATACCACATCAGTAATTGTAAAGAGTAGTTCTGTATGTCATCTGTGGTTTCATGTGAATTAAATACTCTAAAAACTTCCCCAGATGGCATTTTCACATCAACATAGCCATTTTTGCACAGTTGTTCTCTGGGAATTATCACAGAACTACCACCAAAATCCAACTGCACTGGAGGTAAACATCCTGGGTTATGAAATTCCATGAATATTTCATTCACAATTTCTTGAACAACCTTCCAAAATAGAGGTTCTCTTGTTTTAATGTGTGTGTTTGTGATGTTTTCTGGCAGACTTAAATTTGGAATAACAGGAGCACTCTCTAAGCTGTCCATCGAAAATTTCTTCATACATAGCTGAATCAGTAGGGCCTCACCAACTGTGTGTAGGAAATCACTGTGTGCCTAAAAATATCGAAACCTCTTAAGGAATGAATTTTATAGCTACCCAAGTTATATTTCATGTATATAACTTGTGTTAGGACAGTTTACACTAGCCAATTTAAAAAAAAAAACATAAACTGTTCCAACCCATGTTATACCAGTATCACTTGGGAAGCTTTTAAAATTGGTACTTATAATTTAATTTTCCATCATCAAATTAAGAGACAAAGACAATTTCTCCGATAATATGTTTTAAATGTAAGTCATTATGACATAGGCAACACAGATTACCGGTATACAATATAAATTATTTTTTTATCCAATTAAATGATGTGTTATGAAAGAAATTAAATTATAAAATAGCAAAAGTTAAAACAGACAAGTCATCAATTTAAAACCAATATCAACCAGTTAAGCCCTCCCTAGGACCTTATTCATGGACAAAGGGGTTGTAAATTTCAAATTTTGATAAAAAGTTCATTCCCGTCATGCACACTGGTTGCCTGCTATCCATGAGTAATAAAATAGATTAGTAAGATATAATGCATTTTCCATACAAGACAAACTAAGCCCACACTTGTATGTGTAGAATCTAAATCTATGAATTTCACAATTCACATGAATTAAGAAATTCAGAATCTTTGCCCCCCCTTGGCCATGGGTCATTCTACTTGACTGTAGAGAATAAGCATGGACGACATGATACATACCTGGAACCCTCCTTTTACTTGACCGTTTACGTTGGTCCTCCTCAGCTGACATTTGAAGAAAGCTAGACTTCCTTCCTGTCGTGAAGTCTTTGTTGAGTAGAATCGTTTGAACAATTTCTAAAAGTAAAAATTGTTACATTCATAATAAATGTTATTTAAATACCACAACAGACATATTTTTCTCTTCACATATACTTTAAACAGCAGTATAACTTACATCAAGAAAATCCTGTTCTACATGAAACAGCTCTTCTATAACAGGATCAAAAATCTCCATTCTTTCCGTTGCAGTGTGAGCACCAGCAAGAAGATCTTTAGCTCCACTCATCCTTACTCTAACAAGTTGATCCCCTCCAAGTATTATTTTAGCTGTCTCAAAGTCATCTCCTGTCATTGTCAAGCAATAAAATGTATTTAGATAAAGAATGCTGACCTAAAAAATAATGTCTATTTAGTGATAAGCATGTTTTCTAAACCTTATTATAAAATTTAACCATGCTTGTACTTTTGCATTCCAGGAAAATGTCAATTACAAGCAATTCTAAAAATTATTTTATTATATTTTTTTTCGTTGACATGTATGTTGAATATTTACTTAGTGGTAGTTAATTTTTACATGTACTTAAAATATTTAACAAAACTGTAAACAGTCTATTAATTAAGTGTAATACTGCAATCAATACAATGAACAAATTAACTCATATAACAGTTTCTAGAAAAGTGGGTCTCAGTTTCTAGTAAACATTAATTTAAATGGTCTTAGTAATTATCCTTTGAAACAGTAACAAACATATGAACAAAAATAAATTAAAAACAAAATTAACAATTTGTTTTACTTCTTCCGGCTTTTTCATAAGAATTCACTAACTCTCTACTGAGTTCATTGAGAACCTCAATGCACCCATCATAATATTTAGGGTCTTGAAGAATTATCTGAAAAAGTTCTTACTCAAATTAATATGAAAAATATAATGGCTTACTGCATGTTTACCTTTACACTATTACAGGCAATACCAGTACATTACGTTTAAAAAGTACAATTTTTTTTTTTCATGACAAAGTGGAATATATTAAAAAATTGAAAATCTTTAAAAACTACCTTAAGGGGAAATATCTGTGACTTGCTTGACATCTGCTGACTATAAGGATGAGGGATATGTGAAGGAATGCAGGGTTGCATCCATTTCATAGATTTGAAATGCTTCACTAAGGTACGGCCAACCTTGAACATAAATAGAAATAGAAAAAAATGTATATCTACCATGTGTACCTCTACCATTATTCAAAAGGAAATTATTATAATTTTTGTATTAATAGAATAGTTACATTGAATAACAAAGATGAGAGACAAATTTTCCCCCACTTTTTTACTTTTGATATCTGAATTAAACACAGTTACACTGGATTTAAAATTACATAAATACCATATAACCATGCATTTCCTTCAACTTGCTTTCTTCTTCCGCACTGAGGTAAAATACATCAAAATTAATTTCCTCTGGAACTGAAGAAGTGATGCATTGCTCAAGATCCCTCAAATCTACACGATCAGGGTAGTAAGTAGAGGCTGTGTAGTGGTAATGCTTATTACCCCCAGTGAGTCTAACATCTCTTGCTATGGTCATTCCATCGATATTATCAACTGTCACTTTTCCTCCTATTCCCAACTGAATACTGCGAACAATACCCTCTGTGTTCAAATCTCCCATTTTGTCCAGAAATGTGTATTTACTGTCTGCTGAAAGGGTTATACCTGTCTTGTTAAAAATGTCTAATAGATCATTACCTGCATGGAAGCGAAGGGCAATACAGGTGTTGATCTTCTGCATTGCACACAGATCTTTATTTCTCTTATTCATGGCCATAGCATACATCATAGCAATTGTGGAATTGCCAGTAGCAGTTTTCTGTTGATCAGCATGTAATGGGGATGTTAATGTCTGAAAAACTCTAAAAACAAATGGGAAACAGTTTTGAAATTCAAGCAGACATTTATGCAAAATATCCTCTGATTTTAAGCGAGATGGATGTTGTAATGTTCTGAGGACTGACGGACCTGGTGGAATGTTCAACGAACATAAATTATCAGCAATGACTTCAGTTTCTAGTAAAATCAATTTCTGAATTTCAGACAGTAGTACTTTGTTTTTGAAAACATCATCTGCAGAACAGCATTGACTCTGGTTGGTTTTGTCGTCTTTCTTGCAGAAGAGCTCTTGTTTTGCCTTAACTGAATTCAGGTGTGTTGTATCCAATGGTGATGCAAGACTACCATAGTTATGATCTGTATGACACATCTGAGATTTATTTGTGTCAATTGGTACATCTGTTTCAAGTTCCAAAAACTGAAGTTTCTTTTTCTTTTTAGAGTGGGTTTTCCTCATAGATACATTCTCTTTATTGTTCACATCATCTGTATTTTCTTTTTTGGTAGAACTAGGTGTCAAGGTAGGTGTCTGAGAAAATGCCATTCGTTTTGTTGAACATGTCGAGGTAGATTTTCTGTTGACAGCTTCCTTCAATATATTTTGAAAATGTACACAGTTTTCTAGTTGTCTTTTGCAAGATAAACATATCTTGCAATCCTGGAATGAAATGGAATGAAATGTGATGTCTAAACACTTCTTTATATTCTGTAAAACAGCATTGTTCTCTGGGAGTGGGAGGGCTACATTTGTAATTATATTCCTTAACTTCCCTGAGGGGGAGCGAAAGCAGATAAAGCAATGCGGTTCCAGTGACTGTCCTCTAAAAATTGTCTTCAGAGGTGTATGTCTTAAATCACCCATAATTATATCTGTGGATTAATAAAAGTTAAGATCAGTGATTGTCTCTCACCTTATATAAAAAGTACAGAAAAAATTTCAATATGTATTACACATACCAACCTGTAAATGGATTTTGCTGACATTATCTGATACATGTACAGTATATGTTTTCCACCTATAATACAATTGATTTTATTAATCAGTATTACAAAAGTAAAACTTAAGTAGCAAAAGCAGAAGCATGGCAAAAGTGCACACTAATATTCCCATACAAATGCCAATGGTTGCATAACTTCTCGGCTGCATTTCCTTGACAGCGATAACGAAACTAATTTAGAGGAAATTCGAAATGAATACCCCATTTACAGTTCGAATTGAAAAAAACAAGATTTTTGTGACTCTTTCTGATCAACATCTAATATACACGTTAAAAAGTATAATTTCAAAGATGTTAATCATCGTTATAAAAGAATATTTACCTGTGTTGCTGATACCACGGTCTTCTCGTAAAAAAGTAGTTCGCGAGAATATGGGAGAGAAACGTATCCCATAATGCCTGCCTGGAAGAGTTTGGTTTGGTACAAACGAACTCTGGCGGAAGTTTGCGAAACGTTATTCACGATTGTTACGTCACAATGTAGCGACAGAGGTGATTAGTAGTGAGTAAGAATGTTTATATTGATGATCACAGGGGTCTGAAGTTTTCATCGTCAAAAAAAAAAAAAAAAAAAAAAAATCGGGGAAAAAATTTCCTACCATCAACTAAAAAAACACCAGGATGGCCAAGTGTTTTGGGGGGACCCATTTAAAATAATAGATCTGGGCTTGGTCAGAAAAATCTCCGAACTAATTCAGTATCCGGAGTGTTTGTGCTATTTAAGAAGTTAAGAAGTCCAATCTGTTTGACGACTACGGGCCGTTCCTGGCCCTTTACCCACTTTGACAGCTTATCCTGGACTCCATGCCACTAAACTGGAAGTGAACTCCGCAGTGAATATTTGACGTAATATTGAAGAAAAGAAACAAACAAATTACATGTAAAGCTTCATGAACAATATTATATTACCATATGTGATCAATTAAAAAAATATTTTATCAAACAAAACAATGCCTCATCAGGTCGTTAAGTCTAGTTGTTTGGTTCTTTGTTGACTTGGCTTTCAATGATTAAAATTGAAGCCTTATAAAAAACTGAATTATCTGTCCCTGGTTCATATCGTCATTATATAAGTTAGAAAAAGAATTGATAACTTTTCTCTTAAATATATTTCAAATAACTGAATCTAATAACGTTGAACAATTATTTGAACAAGTTTTTATAGACGTCAAATATACACTGCGATATTCACTTCCGGTTCAGTGACATGGAGTTAAGGATAAGCTTTCAATGTTGAAAAAGGGCCATGCACGGCCCGTAGTCGTCAAGCATGATTGGATTTTTCAACTTGAATAAATAACACAAACACTCCGGATATTGAACTTGAAATTTTTTTTGGCCAAGCCCAGGTATATTTGTTTAGCCCCCCCCCCAAAAAAAACACGTTGCCATCCTGGTGTTTATTTAGCTCTAGGTAGGACATTTCTTTTCCGGATCTTTTTCTTTTTTTGACGATAAAAACTCTAGACTACTGTGTTGTTGATAGTAAATAATTCCATTGTGGTCGGAAGCAAATTAGCAAATTGAAATGGGGGGGGGGGGGGTATTTAGTAGACGAGTAAAATTCCAAATCTGAAAAATTTGAAAAGATGCAAGCATTTTAGTAATTATTCAATCAGATTGTTGGACGGAAAGAAATGCGAAATCTAAGCTATATTACCATCAGAAGACTCTGATGATACTGTAGCTCTACTGGTCTGTACGTGTAAAAAAGGATTGAATGATTGATTCATTCCTTCTCGAGAATTTTTCACTCATATGGAGACGCCACTACTTGCCAGTGGAAAGCTGCGATTTCGTCTTATACTCGGCACTTAGGGCCATTGAGGGAGGGGTCTTTTTCGTGCCCGCACCTACTGTAAC